TCATAAGAAGTTGTGATGATCAGAAGAAAACGAAGGACATGCAACACATGCTGTCTTCCACATGTCATTCTGTTCCTTTTTTTTTTTTTTTTAATTCATTTTCTCTTCTTTCTCCTCTTCTAGACGCACACAGATTCAGGCATCACCCTGTCTGCACACAAAAGATGCAGTGCAGTGATACAACCTGTTCCCCCCTGCTTATAAGCTGTTCTGGCTACCTTCCCAAAAATTTCAGTAAATATGTACAAAAGCAAAAGTTCCAGTGGGCTTTTTTTTCAGAGAGAGAGGGTGCAGAAGGGCAAGCAATCCTTGCTAAAACCAAAATTTTTGCAGTTTTACATTGTAGAAACACTCAGACCTCTGTTCTCCATCCCAGCTTAATGGCCATAGGGAATCTAAAAAAGCTTTCTTCAACCCATCCCAAAATAAATGAATAAATAAATAAGTAAATAAAAAAAATAATAATCTAACAAGAAACAGATGTTTAAACTTGCTTCAGCTGCAATTAAAGCGAAGTTTTGTGCTACAGAGCCTCTTTTAAAGCTCTGCACAGTCCTTCTATTTGTCAGTGACTGTTCTTGTGGTAGGGCTAGAAAGTAATTTTCTCCTTAGGCCATCTCCATCAACTCTGCACTATTTCATATAAAAGACCTTTAATGAATGTGCTTGGTTAGCTCTCCCTTAGCCCACCAAAGCATCAGACTTCACAGACTGTTTTATTCTTTTACTAAGTTTCTTTGCAATTTTCTCACTAAGTCACTTCTCACTGGGGTTAACAAAACAAATCAAATGTGGAACTCCTAGGTCAAGTCAGGGCAAGACTTTTCCTTTTGGTATTCAAAATACAAAACTTGTGCATCCAGTCATTGTAAAAAGAGATTTGCAGTATTTCTGTATCAAAAAGCAAGTGTGCTGTGCTAAGTATAGTTCAGAACAGCAAAGAGTTTAAACAATGAGGCAATAATACACTATTGTACAACTGCTGAAAAGGGGCAGGGGACAAGTAATAGACAAAGTGTTCAACAAAGTCTTTTCAGGTGATTTAATACTTTTTGCTTAAGTACATGATAACAAAAGTCACTTTGTGATAGCAGTTGTCTTTAGGGTTTAGTAAACAGAACTATATTACTGTTGCAGTGTGTTCTGATTTAGGCCTCTTTTCCAGATAGCTGAGGGGTTTTTTTCTTATTTTCCTTTACACTGATGAAGTACCATATTCCACAAACAGCCTTATTACAGTCAGTGATCCTGATTTTCATCTATATTAGGACATCCTCTCTAATTTTTTTGTGGTTGTATAGCAGCATTCAGGCCTGAACTCCAGTGAGGTACTATAAAACTGCCTCATTCATTATAATATGTTGTCAAACCAAAGTGAGTTAAGAAAAAACAAACTCCCAAAACAGAGTTGCAGTCAAATTTTGTAGAGATTTTTCTTAGCAAAGAGACTATTTTCATGGCATGTAGTTTGATGAACATTAAGAATGAAGAGTATTTTTTTGTCATGGAAGTTCTGAGGAAGGTAGATGTTTAAATATTAATTCAGTGGTAGACAGTATCACTTGAAAGTCACACTTTTTCAGTGTGTCAGGCCACATAACTCATACGATGAGTGAGCTGAAGGGCTTGATGCGTTTCAGAAAGATGCATGGGCAGGCTTTCTGTTGTGGGGCAACGTTCAGGGAAAGTTAAATCCAGTGACAGAATGTCTGCTTAACTCATAAATCTCTAGAAATTTTTCAGTTTTGGCCTGGAGTGATGTTTATGTGCATGTCAATGAACTTAAAATCAAAGCCTCTTGCCTGGCCTACGGGAAAGGAAATGCATCATGAGAATAGGACACCTTCCAACACTAAGGATTCCTTATAATTTTCCACTGAACACCTCCAGGTTAATACTGTAGCAACAAGACTCTCACAGTGGAATGTACTGAACAGTCCTTTCTTGATTAATGTTGTACTTCTTCAGAAAGGATATAAAGGTCAAGGTGACAAGGACTACAGTGATTTACTGGCAGAAATCTGTTAGGTATTTTGAAGGCTGTTATTCAAATGTCTGATGCATTTCCAAACAAATGCTTGAACTTGGACTGCATGGTTTCATTCAAGGCTGCTGGAAAGGAGAGAGCAACAGACTTGTTACTATTACTAAAAAACTGAACAAATAAATTTCTCAAGGGCTTTTCTGGTCTAGATTACAAGTGTCAGGCCCTTCTCACTTCCAGAGTTGATGCTGTCTTAGTGACACATACTATCTACCACTGCCTCTGCAAAGTGTGCTTCTGCATGCTACCATGTTACCAAAACAATCAGCATCTGTAAGTTTATTTCTAGTGATGTCTTAGGAAAATGGATTTCCATTCATTATAAAACAATTTACCCCTTAGCTGGGGGCAGTTTTCATCAGTTCAAAAGCAATGACATACTAGTGACAGATTAACATATTATTTCTAATTTCTTCACTTTTAGTTTTCTAAAGACGCAAGTATGAGAACTTTAAAAATTGTTAGGTTCTTTGTAAGATGTTTGATTTTTTTTTTTAAGAAGCACTAAGGCTTAGTGAGCTGCTTGGATATTAGGATATTGTTGAGAAAGTCAACTTCTATATATTCTTAGTGTAATAAATCTATACTATTTAGCAGTCTAATTTGCATAAAATCCTGCGTGATCTGACTCTATGTTATACTTTTTTAAAATACTTACATGGTTCTTGTATCTCTTTGGCTTAATATTTTAGGTGAAAACTAAGGAAATCTAGCATGTTGTCTTTCCGTTTTAACTTCTTATGAAACAGCCATAAGATGTATCATATATAACATTGTTTTCGTTTAAGCAGTACTATTTTTTAATTGAATCTTTTAGAAACTTTGGCAAGATTCTCCACTGTAGATACAAGGTACCCATATCCTACCCACTGCAACTTTGCATGCTGAAGATTCTCTATACAGAAAAAACTAGTTGGATGTACTTATATAAATGCCTTTTGCTGGATCCTTGGGTAAAGCCCTGTGAGTTCACATGTAACAGGATGAAACAGAAGGCAGATTGTATAGGCCAGATTAAAGCATTCAGAGCTAGGAGATGAGTCACAAAGAGTAACATTATTCCTGATGAAAATTCAAGATTAACATATTTTTAACCCTGCTTTCCTGCAGATCTCACAAAAGGCCAAAGTCTTGGCCAGAGAAGAGACCATAGCTAAATCAGGTGGCACTTCAAAGTTGAGTTGCTGCCGATGGACAAAGCTCTTGCTGGCTTCCCTCATGTCCTCTCAAATATTCAAGGCTTAGAGGTGGGCCTGTGGTCCTTCAGTAGCGTGTCCAGCAAAGTTTGATGAAGTCATCTTAATAGAAGTCTTGTCAAACTATTCCCCTTATGGTAGTTCTGTATGAAAAGATGAAGTAGGAATTATTTCCATTGCTAAATGCAAACTCATATTAAATGTGCATATTTTTACTACAGTCAAACTTCACTGACCATAGAAGGGTCATGGACAAGATGCGTGGGTTTTTTCATCATTCTTATTTCTGGGAGTCAAGCACAGAACAGGCAGGGCAGCCTTACTGACATGTAGTGGCTATTGGCTTTGAAAATAACTTTGGTTAGATTTTGGTCCGTTTTCTCAATCTTCTGTGCTTTATCATCTTGAAGAAGTTGGAAAACAATTTAAAAATGGATAGATGTTTGGCATTTGGGGATAAGAGCACAGAGCCTTGGGTGACATGGTTTAGTGTGAGGTCTTCCTGCCCATGGCAGAGAGGTTGGAATTAGATGATCTTAAGGTCCTTTCCAACCCTAACTATTCTGTGATTCTCATTACATGGTAATCTTTCCTTTACAAAATTGATTGAATGAGACTGTAATGTCTGTTTAAAATAAAAACCTAGGATACCTGTAGGTCCATGGACTGATATGCCTAGGAGCAATGTCATGTCACATCTCTCTGCTCACACTTTTATTCATCATCTATCCTCTTAGGCTTAAAAGAAGCACCTTTAAGATCACAGAATATAAGTTTAAATGGTCTCTGATCTCATTGTTCTGATAATTTCCTGATCGTAGAATTAAACTTGAAACAACTAGGTCATCAACACTATGGTTTTTAACTGTACCACCACGAGACCAAAAAACAAACCCTAAACTAAAAAAGTATGTGTATTTCTTACATATAGTAGATTTTAAAAGGAATTCTTGAAAGCAGCTTTGAGGAAAAATCATTAAATTTTGTCAGTAAAATTTAGGATTCAGTGATTCTAACAGTAGCAGTGATTTTCAAAGAGTTCTGCGTTAGCAACCAAGGAAAATCTCTGCCAAGAGCTTCATGATTAATCTTTTGGAATTAAAGTGCAAAATGGAATGAGATAAAGAGAATGTCAAAGAGACCTTATGTGAGACTTTATCAGGCAAGAATTTTCGTTACTTTCTTCTTGTGTAATCTTTTCTTTGGGTCCAAGTGGGTTGTAAAAGTTAATGATTGAAGAACCAGAGAATCCCATGATGAAACCTTGCCCATAGCGTTTCACTAGTTTCGAAGATTATGGACAGGTAATTCATAGACTATATGTTGGAAGGTAGACTGCCTTCTGTACATTTCTAGATACATTCTATAGGAATTTGTGGATAACGTGTAGGACTCTTATCGGCTCTGTGGGATAGGTGAAACTGCTTGCTATTTTTACCATTAGTCTTTGTACTTGACCGTCACTAATGAAAGAGAAAATGGTGGTGTCTTACTAGCTTGTAAAACTTCCTAAATACACACCTCTGCAATGTGCAACTTGAGAATTTTTAAGTATGAACCTGGCTCAGACCATTAATAGGCACCATCTGTTAAATGGCCATATTACATCTATACATGCAAAAAGACTCCTCAGGAAGATTGTTTTAATCTTGAATATCATAGATAGGTTTTCCTAACCAAATAATTTTCTCCTACGTTTAAAGATTCAATGTTGTGAGTAATTACAACATTTGCACTTTCATACATAGAGCCAGACAATACAGGTTTTAGCAGTGTTTATTTTTGTAAAGAAAAATAACACAATGGATTTGACAGGAAGTCACCAGATCTGTCTTTGATTGCACACTTGTAAACAAAATAACAGAGTGTAGAGTGAAAAAGAAAAAACAAGCCAACCATTTTCATGTTGCTACTTCAAAATAACACCTAAGTCTATGAATGTTCAAAATGGAAATATATATACCAAGAATGCTAAAATGTCTATTTTACATTATCTACAAAACGTATGTTCTAATCCAGCCACAAATCATAGAAAAATACTTTGATACATGAGAAAAGCTATAAACATAAGAACATTCTGGAGGGAAATAACACACATAAAAGCTCATTAAATAATTAAAACAACAAATAAATAGTTTGTTCAGCTTTACTTTTTGATTGCTGCCATGCATATTTTAATTTTTGGTATACTGAGATAAGAGAAAGGTCAGCATGCAAGGCATTTTTGTTCAGAATGAATCTGAAAGCAGGTGCTAGGTGTTGTATTTTTAAGCTGTTTTCAGAAGTTCATAAAACATGATATAGAAGGCAATAGACAGATAACTGTTCTCATGAAAACACAATATAGAAGGCAATAGACAGATAACTGTTCTCATGAAAACACACAACAAAGCATCTTTTTACAAAATACACTTCAGTGAATATTCATGGCAAATTTTCTTTGCCTCCATGGCTGGAGAAAACATAAAAGTTCATTGTGTGGGTTTGGAAGGCTTGTGTTGTTTGCCATCTTGAGCATTTGGAAAATCACCTAAAAGGTCCATATTCTGAGAATGCCCTTCTGGTTTTGGTCAAAGCAATAAGCATGTAGTGTCAGCTGAGAACACAGCAATGGCAGACTTGTCTTTAAGCAGTCAGAATGATAAAGCAAATGGCTACAGGTGAGTTCAATTTTGGCACAAGGAGAGGGAGATGAGTGAGTAGAGAACATCTGACTTCTAACTTGTACTATGTTTGCTGGATTTACTGGCTCTTTTCCGCTCTTTGTGATGCTGGATAGGTTTTGCTTGAGAGGTTCCCTCAAAATTGTGGCTGGACTCATTGTGCTGCCTGGTGTATCGCTTGCACTTGCAGGCCGTGACCACAGTTATTTTGTAGGTTCTTATACTTCCGTCCTGGCACTGAAGCTGGATCCTCTGGGTGCGAGTTTTGTCATTGACACATCTCCACTCTTGCGAACTCCGCCTGCTCCAGTACTTGGTTCCATAACCTCCTCCAATCCAGTTGGGAAGCAGTGGCAAAGGGAGGCATTCACCGGCACACACCAGCTCCTTCAGCGGGTTGATGCTGGTGCACTGGCCATCAGAAATGTACTTGGTGGATCTCAGTTCTCGACAGCCAACTTGAACACGATCTGCAGAATGCACAGAACAATAAACACTGAGATTCAGAATGGAGGGATTTCCTCAACCAGTCATTTCCACATTAACAGACTATGTTTTGCAGAAGTTAAATTAGGCTGTAATCTTTACAGGACATCTTTTTACTGTTGTATCCCCCAACAGAAGGGCCTAGAGTGCTGATGGTATCTCTGGCTATTACCACAGCAGAAAGAAATGATAATGAGATGCACTTCAGCAGTTGTGGTAAAAGAGGCAGTTTTATTCCCTGTCCTTCTTCTCAGGGACAAACCTTTTAGAAGAGAAAAAATGCCCCAAGGGAAGAAATGTTTCCTGCTTGTTCTCAGTCATAATTAAGTTTGATCATTAGCAAGTGGAGAAATAGTGCTTTGGAAACTGTATGCTTTTAAATGAATTTCAAATAATATGTTTCATCTCATTCCATGGTTACAGTGGACTGAGAAGAGCACTGCTGCTCTGAACACAAACACTGCAGAAGTGACAGTAGCTGAAATTACCAGGGACTGGCATTCTGCACCTAAAGTTGGAATGATTAGCAGTAAGGATTTCAGAGTGGTTGTTCTGTCCTCAGGGGAACACCATCTCTGTACCTGTAGTAGTCTTTATATTGTATGCAATGTAGAGGATTCTGCAGATTATCTCAGGCAACTGACACAGAATGAACATGCAGAGCTTCTATTATAGGCATGTTTGTACCCGTCTGTATGTGCAGCTCTGCACCCTGCAATAAACACAACTGTTTATTTCAGTAATTACACTTTGAAATAAACGCCCACAGTATGCTTAATTTTAATAAGCAATCTTTACTGGCTGTGCTCTCTCTCTTTCTGAAGGACAATTACAGCGCGGATTCTACACACAATGCAATTAACTAACGCCTTAAAAATAGGAGTAATTACTAGAAACATTTTAGAGTGAATCATAAAAGGCTTTGAAGGTACATCTACATATCACAGCTACAGGCTGCTTCTGCTTCTACTTGGATTTTTGGAAGCAGGTTCTGAACAGAGACACTGAGTGAAGATTACTTCACCCTGTCCCCTGCGCCCCAGGATGGGCAGTCCAGGGGACTGGTCCAAGGGGCTGTTTGCAGGAACGTCCTCCTGCCTGCCTTTCAGGAAAGATTACATCTTGCCTTCCTGCAGCTGCACTCAGGAATGTACCTGGAAGCAGCTGGTCGCAGATTTGATTTTGTTTCTCCTACTGTTTTTATGCCTTTCCTGGCTCAGTTTTTCTCCAGTGACACCTCTTTGACGATTAATGCCTACTGGGCTGCTCCAGTAATCTAATGATGAGATGTTTCCTGTGCGCTTAAACCCTGAGCAATTCACGGAAGCTGACACACCTGGCTTAGCTACAAGGTATCTGTGGCACTTTTTGCCTTCACTTTCCAGGGATGACGCTATTCTTATTGACTTGTTGTGGGTGGGTTGGGGTGCGTGTTTCTCTGTTTGGATTTCTTTCATTTTAAGGAGGCGGACAGGGGAGGGAAGAGATAAAAGTCAGCAGAAGGTTTTGTCCCATGTATCTGACTTACATACATAAAGCTCAGCAGAAAAAGACTAGATATAAAAATGCAAGTCAGAGCAGAGATCGTAGGTAAATGACGAGCTGATTTGTTTACTTTTGCTGGAGGTGTTAAGCAGGTAAGTGCTACAGCAGGAAGTAAAACTAAACAGCGGGAACAAAATTCGGAGTTTTTTATTGCATTTGAAAAATAGCCCAGAGAGCTCTTCTGACCGCAGTGGGAGGCAGAATTAAGAAAGAGAGCGCTTTAGAAATGCCTCTCCTTTTCCTTTATCTCGCTTCCCTGCCGGATAACCCATAAGCCCCGGTGTTCCTGGATGAACCTCCCTCAGGAAGGAACCTGCCCGAGAGAGCCGGTCCTGCAGGACTCGCACGGGGGAGGGAGGGAGTTTTGCTCGGGGGCCGCCCGGCGAGGCAGGTCCCAGCCGGGAACAGCAGCATCTTCTCTTGGCCCTGCTTCCCCGAGGAGCGGGTTCCCTGCAGCGCTGGGCTCTGGGACAAAGCGAGTTGCGGAGGGGCTCCGCTGCCGGGGGGCTCCGCTCTGCTGCTGAGCCGGGGCTGCCAGAGGGGCACGGGCAGAGGGGCGCGGTGGAAGTGCCGCCAGATAGGATACTCACTGTTACGGTCAGATCCAGTGCTGGTGTAGTGCCTGCCTCCATTCCTGGCTTGATTCAACGTGCTGTTGCTGCTTGGGCTCGCTGCAGCAGGTTTAACAACGTGCGAATAAAGTATCTCCGTGGCATCGTTCTTGAAAGCCAAGTAGCTTTTCGTGAAGATGCAAGCTAGGAGAAAGCCATAGAAGTGAACAGCAGGGAGAAGCATGGTTAGTTCAGGCTCTGCCTGACAGGGATGGATGAAATAGTTTTTCTTCTGCTTCTTCTGGGTAGCTCTGAAATTGCGCTTGAAGGTTTCCTTTATATATTGAGAGAGGCTTGGCATTCATTCAGGTGTGAAGTTGTGGATAGCTTCAGAATGAAAACCCACAAAAGGGGTGGGATCCCCACATGAGCCTGGGAAGACCTTTTACCAATAGGAGAGGAGACTGCAGTAAAGGAGGAGTTAGATGCATTAATTGCAGGATTCCTATTTGGGGCTTTTGAGGGTATCAGAAAACTCTTAGGCACCACATAGCAGCATTCTGGCTGAGACCTAGAGGCTCCTGGCTCTGTCCAGCCATTCCGTATTGCCTTGCATGCCTGGCATTTTTGTGTGATGTGGCTAACACGGTTGCTCCTGTTACACAAAGTCCTGTCCCCTCTTCTCGAATGTGACGTTCAGAAAACTTGCTAGTTCTGTAAGAATGCAAAAGTTTATAGAACTTATAGAAGACTGCTAGATACACAACGACTGTCTGCAATATACCAAATCACTTAAAAAAATACTGTGAATAATTTAAAGTTGCCTCTAGATGCTTTAAATTATGCAGCTTTGATCAACAAGGAGCACTGCTAGAGAAAGTACTTGTTTTAGGGGAATATTCTCTCCCTGGTGTGCAGTGTTACAAGTATGTATTTCTGTATTACCACACATAAAAAGTATCTCCTCTAGGCTCCTTAGTACAAACATATCCATATTCATAGCCTCTCACTATGCTCATTCACCAAACTAGTCCTTTTTAGTTTTCTACATTGCCTAGAGCATTCGTATATTTTTAATGTATTACTTCATGTGATAAAGAAAACAAAGAGGAAAGAATAATCTTTATTTTGGCATACCATTTTACTGTGTCACACACTTACCTTTTTTTACATAGAATTACATGGCCCAAATCCAAATGGTAGTGTAAATTGAGATGCTGTCAATAGGCCAATGCTTGTCTGCAGCATGGTGAATGCTCTGTAGATTTTCCTTGTAAATAAAATAACAGTAATCAACATTGAAAGCTCCAGTGTTCTAATTAAAAGGAAACCTTGTTCCTGGGAAAGAGCACAACCATGCGGAAGGCCACATTATGCAAAGGTCAGACTCTAGTCTCACACTCTTTATAACTGAGTTGGTATTTGTAGTCATCCCGGATTTTATTTACTGGAATGAAAGCAGAAGTGGAACACTGGTCAGTTTGAGCTCTAGTTTGGGTCAGAATCTCAGTCATGTAGAGAAGACAGCTTTGTTTCACCCTAGTCACAAGCAGACATTCGTCTGTATCAGCAAAACTTTCTTCTTGCATCACTAAGAAAGTTACCCTGGATTTCAGCAGGAATAAGGACAGAGCCACAGTAAGTACCAAATCGATAGCTTTTGCTTAAAAGACACAGGAAAAACAGGAGTGTTGCAAGGTAAAGTGAGTTTTACTGGCAGAGCTGTGTGTGGGGAAGTTGACTTGATTGCCTGCATCTATTATGACTAGCCCAACCCAGTTCTGGAATAACAAGAATGTTGCAAGGCGGAATGAGACCTTTCAGCAGAGTAATGTATGGAGGAATGGGATCATTGCTCACCTCTGACAAAGCTCCAAGTTCCACTCTCATGCTACATCCTATTTAAGCACAAAAGCAGAGATGTGCATTTTACCTGCTCTTTAAACAAACAAACAAACAAACAAACAAAAGTTTCCTGAAGCAGATTAGCAAAGAAGATGTGTCCATTTCAGACCATTACTATTTTCAGACCATTATTATTTTTATTCAGCAGCAGCTAAGCAAAGGTATGATTTGTTGATGCTCAAGTCCTACTTCATTTTTTTTCTCATCTTCACGGATCTTCACAAGTCTAACCTCTCACCTTACTGCAGAGGAGTCTCTGTGATGAACAGAGGCAAATATGATTAAAAACGTGGAACCCATTTTCCAGTTCCAGGGGACCTCTTACTAGCAGAAAGATTTTCCCACGTTAGACAAGACTTGGGAAAACCAGAAGTTCCCTTGAGAGCTGTTTCCTTTGAAATAAGGCATATAATCTTGTCACAGGAAAAATAAATGGGACCAGGGGTTTGCTATAGGACTGGGTCTGTGGCTGGGCTTGCTAAGCCTCAACCTTTCAGCTTTCCATGAAAGGTAAAAAACACCCCTTCAAATTTGGACAATCTGAAACCATTATGTTTGTCACATCCTTTTCTTGGTCTTGTCACTTAGAGAAGTAAGACCTGAAGAAAAGCCTCTTACAACCTTTCTAAATGAAAAGTTTGACCCTGAATTTGTTACAGGAAAAATAATTACTTAATTTTTCTCTGTGCACTTGAGAGTAGACATTATTTCAACTTCATTTGTATTTCGCACTTATTACAGTGTTGTATGAAAATGTGATTTCAGTTCTGTGGTCAGTATTGTCAGCCTCCCGGCTCTGAAAGGTAAACAGGCTTCTGAGGAATTTGTCAGTTAATTTGACTTATACTTTCTTTTGCCAAACCTAGAGCTTGCAGTCTTGGACTTTTTCTGAGTCTTCCTGAGAAAGATTAGAAGTCACATGAAGGGAAGAGATGCTGATCAGTCAAATTTTGTTACTCTTCCTGAATTAACTTCACAATCAAAAGGTGTTCCTTGATGCTTAGCTTAGAACAGATTCCTAAACTTAAAATATTTTTTGTTATCATTAGTTAGAAGATTGTGACAAGTTCTCAAAGATGAAGGCTGTAAGTTACCTTTGTAGCCTCCAGAATAGACTTATACAACATACAGTCTGTCCTTATTCTAGTCAGATTCGATGGCTTGTGTAGAACATAGCTCTGTGCTTAATATGTAATGTTGGCCATAAGGAATATATTACACAAGGTCTTTGAAGTCTGTACTGGCTTCCTTTTTTGCTTCTGGCCATAACTCAGGATGTTCTTATTGATCTATAAAACCCTATATGCTTTGAGTCCTAGGCAATAAATTCTCTCTCCTTTATCTTCCATTAGGAGCTTAAGATCAGCCAGGGCAAGCTTACTATACCTGAGTGTCTGGAGAGCTTGAAGGCTCAGCGTGAAGGGCCCAGGAGACTGGATTTCACTGCTCCACAGGATCCACGAGAGCTCTGCTCTGCTGCCTGGCATCCTGTAAAGGCCCTTGGCTAGTCAGATCCTTGAAAGGTGACTGTGGGGAAAGCACAAGGAAGAAACCTATTAACCAGATTAAGTTAACTTTTGTATGTGTACCCTGGAATAAAGTGCTACATTTAACTACATGCTTCTTTCAACTTAACTGCTTCTTGTTTCTTAACAGCCTTGCTTCTGAATGAACCTAAACATAGTGGTAAAGCCATCTATCACCCTTCAGAGAGAATGCTAACCAGAATTACCCATGCCTTAAATCTTGCTTTCTCCATTTTCTATGATGGAAAAAAAAAAAAAATCATGTTTCTCTCAATGGATGCAGAAAATACAAGGCATGTGTTCTGTAGAGATCCCAAATGAGAATTCGCTTCTTCATTGTCATTTATAAGTCCGTCAGGATCCCATCCTCCATGTTTCTGAGACACTATAATGATGTCCAAAGGGCAAAATGTTGTGTGGAGTGCACACACCTGTCTAGCAGCACAAAACAGCCACAGGGAATAGAAGGGTATGCACTGACAAGCACAAATGACTGCCAGAGAGCCTTGTCCTTGCAAACCGCATGATCACTGAACATGCACAAAATAAGAAAGAATTCCCAATTTCTCATAAAACTTGGGCCTGCCCAGTTTTAATAATGACAGGAAAAGGCCAGAATTAGAATGAAGGCTGACAGAAAGGTAGATTCAAAATTTGGGTTTGTATTTCTATTGTTAGTCCCAAAGAGAAGACCATTAGAGCACTGCACTTCTGACTTGTTTCCAAAGGCAGATACTTTGAGATTAAATACAGGATTAGATAAATGACTGCAAAAAAAGAAACTGACATTTATTACTTTGCACCTTAAAACAGAAATGACTGTCAGGCTATTTTCTGTTAAGCAATAAGCATATTAGTAATGTACTTCAAAGCAGCATAAAATGTGATTTGGAGCATGATAAGAGAGCTCCTGTGAAAGTGTGGTAAAATTGCAATAAATTCAACTGTTGAGAACTTGTAACCTGTTGTGCAACAAGTTAGCATAGTTTTAAAGCTCGTACAGAAAACATGTTAGAGAACCAAGATATGCCCCCCTCCCCGCACATTCTCTAACCAAAGGTTTTTTTAAATACTGAGGTTTTTCTATACTAAACGGTGCTTTTTAATTTTCACAGTAAATTACGAGAGATTGACTGGAAAACATAACATATATTCTCATTAATGAGAATGACTAATTAGTTCTGATTTATGTCTCCTTCATCTCCCTAAGAATTCGTATTACAATTTTAATTTTCTGTACTTGCTCTTATGTATACATAATGTAGACAGAATAATTTAGGTCAGACTGTGGCTTCAAAGGAGGCAATTTATCACTTTTATCAAAAAAGACAGTAAATAGACAAAAAAGGGGGAAATATTTAAGTTTATTTTTGAAATTCTAGAAAATTTTACAATAGAGTGAAGAACTGTCTGCAATAATTACAATTGCCACCTCTCCTTGAGCATTTGCAGTAAGATTTTAAGACCAGATTGAAGACGATGTGAATTATCACCATTCAAAACATGGGTTTTGATTTCTTGGTATGTTGAAGAAGAAAGAAAAACAAAACAGGGGTTTACAAGTGAAAAAATATGAGAATAACAGTTTGTTTATTGGGGTAACTTTTTCAGCAGCTCTTAGGTGACACTGAGGTGTGACGCTTCTATTTTAAACCAACTGAGGGCAATAAAGCAGGATTTTTTAATATATATAGGCACTGAAGTCGACTGGACTTTGGTATCTACATACTTTCTAAAATGTTGCCCTAAGGAGTGAAAGTCCTATTGATTTTCAGTGAGCCAGTCACTTAAATGCTTTTGAAAATTTTACCCTCAGGTTAAAATTCTGAACCTCCTACTCAGTGTTAAGCAGGCAAAGTCCCATCAACATGCCCCAGTTGCAAATAAATAGAAATTGAGTAAAGGTTTTGAAGTCTGACTTGTTTCTTTACATGTAATTAACTGAACTCTTAATATATCACTATGTTTCAGTAAACTGCTTTGTGTTTCTAATTACGTGGTCTGAAGTGATTACCATGTATTTAAAAAATGCACACTCTACAACAAACCAGCTAAGAAAATCTGGCATGGTGTCAGGATTTCCTAGGCAAACACTTGCCAAACCTGTTGTTAGATCCAAAGTAATAATTTAAAAACAAGCCTACAAGGTATCTGGAAGAGGATCCCTCCTTCCTTCCTTCTGCTCCGTCTCCCACTCCCTTACAAGGAAATCGCTTTTCCTCATCAAAACAGAACAGCTACTGACGTTTGTCTT